GCATTTTTGCAAGTCTGTCAATGTTCAAGCAGTACCATCGAGCCTCATCAGTGGAAATCCGATCTGTTCAGTCTACTTTCTAGATGCGGTATAGGCACCACTGATCAAAGACTCCAAGCTTCCTTGCATCTTGTACTTTTAGCGGCCAGGTTTCATAACCATAAGTGAGGATGGGGTGAATGGAAACCTGATAAGCCTGAAGCTTGGTGTTTAAGCTTATTTCGCGTCGATTTCACAACAGTTTGTAGGAGTTGTAGGAAGGCTATTCTAGCTCCGTCTACACGGAGTTGGATTTCATCCTTAGCCTGGCCGTTTGGTCTTATCGCAGAGCCAAGATACTTGAAAACTTCGGTTGATTCGACAAGCTTCCCGTTAATCCAGAGGGGTTGTGTGATGGTAGAAGTTTCGGTCGAAAATGTCTTCGTTTTCGACATGTTGATCTCTAGCTCAATGGACTAAGCAAACTGATTTATACGACTGACAACAGGCTGGAGGTTGTTCATGCTGTCTCCAAGTACAAGGACATCATTCGCAAACACAAAGGTTCGCAATCCATGTACCTGCGCCAAGCTGCACTCCAGGGTAGTCGATGAGTGAGTGTCGCATTATCCAATCTCCGGCGTAATTTAATAACACCGGCGATAGGGGAAAATCTTGCCTAACTCCAGAGCTTAGGGTAAACTCAGTTGATTTTTCTCCACAGGTACGGACGCGTGTCTGGGTTCCTGAGTAGTATGACTTTAAAAGTCTGAAGAACCGCTCAGGCTTCCCGTCGGACCGCAATAGGCACTACAAGAATTTTCTGTCGACAGAGTCAAACGCAGCGTGAAAGTCAATGATACTTGATGTGGTAGGCTATTGGAACTTGTAGTGGTATTCCAGAATTCTACGGAGAGTGAAGATTCGTTCAATACGGCCTCTTTCATGGAGAAACCCCCCTTGGTTCGGGCGAATGCGGATATTTCTGACGACTGTGAAGCTATTAAGCAGTATCGCTGCAAAATATTTGGCCCCAAATATCAATGAAGCTAATACTCCTGTAATTTTCGCATCTAGGTCTGCCACCATATTTTGGGACCGGGACTGAAATTGAAACGGTCCAATCTCTCGGCAAAACCTCTCTTTCCCAAATGGTATGGGAAGGAGAATGCAGCGGATTGATCAGAGTTGGTGAGCAAGCTTTGAATAACTCTGGTCGTATCCCGTCTTCTTCACGGGATTTCCTGTTTTTTTCAGAAAAGTGACTGCATTGATGATTTCTGTCGTACTAGGTGGGTCACAATTGACTTCATGAGCTTCCGAACTGCTTGACACATGTAAAGAGCCAGCTTGGTTTGATGGGCGGTTGAGCACCCCACCCAACTTTACATTTCTTGCTCAGTTCCCCGAATAAGGTGGCCTGTGGTGCCGCGCAACAGGGATTCCGATGTATGTCGTTTTCCTGCTACGACACGGATTAGACGGAACAGCTTTCCAAGGTTCTCGTTTGCATCCAGTGGAGTGATTCGTTGGTGGATTTGGTACCGACTGATCGCTCATTTAAAGACCGCTGAAGTCCGATTTCAATTTTGTGATTCTTTCTGATTTCGTGAGCGTGTTAAATCTCTGCTGATGTTTTTTCACTCCAAGTACACCCTGTTTCACAGCTATTTTTGCTTATATTCAGTTTGCTCGATGACACTTGTTCGATTTCGAAGTAGTACGTTTGGTATCAACTGTATGCCAGTCCATGTGATCAGTGCACGCCTGTGTCAGATCTGTCTAGCTTAGTTTCACCATTAAATGAACTGTTTTATTAGAAATATCGGCCTCAATGCTCATGACATTATCCTTGACGTTCATTACCTATTACCTCTTTCCAATAGCCATCAGTTTACATCTGATTGGACTGCTGTTTCTCTTCCTGATGATGGAAAATCTCACACTGAGGTATTTGTATGGAATTTTCGGATTAACAATTGCTCCTCCTTTCATATATTTATTATATGTACTGTTTGTGGCATGTCTAGGGAAAAAATAAATACAGTATTCACTTATTAAGAATGTGTATTGTGTTGTTCTCATGGATGGTCGTTTGCGTCCAGGGAAATTTTGTCCAGTCGTTCACATACTACTTATTATATATATATATATATATATATATGTTCAAACATCAGAAGTGGGTCAAAGTTACCCCGTGAAACTAAAACGCGCATCTACTTGTTTTTGTTATGTGGTCATTTCTCAAATCATAGGTAACAGTATGCGAAAATTCTGATTGGAGTGTTGGTGCTAGTGAGTTCTTCGAGCTGGAAGTGTTGTTCGCAGACGTTTCGTGGCCAAGCTAGACAACCTCATCAGTGCGACTTCCACATCTTTTCTGATGGTGATGTGTGAATCTGACATTTATCAGGATTCCCATTGAAGGCTAAACAACCAAAGTCAAATTAGATTAGACATGTTCATATTATAATCTCCTCTATGGCGTAACGCTAAAAATGAGAAATAACCGCTCACTGGTACCAAACTGTTCGCTGTTGATGAAACACGTTCATCAGCTTTATTTTAACTGGTATGCTCTGCTCGTTAAACGCCGCATTAAACGGAATTTACACAGAACTGACCACAGCTCAGATTTAGCTGTCAATTCTAGTGAAGTTCCATTTAGCCAGCTAATTGTTTGGGATCTATTATAAGTAACTAGGGCCTTTGTAGAAGGCAAATACCCAGCGCAGTCTCTAGAAATTTTTATTTCCTCGAAGGTTTATAATTTTGATAGTTTCTCGGCTATTTTTTCAAATTTCCCTGGCACCGAGCAAAATATGTAGCACTCCAATTCGGTAGATGTAGTATTTTCAAATTATTCTTTCATTTCAAAAACATTAAACACGACAGTGAATTTGTATTATACCGTTACGGTGCACTGTGAGACGGTTCCTTCACAGACATTTGGCGCTTGTCTGTTTTAAACTGGCTAAGAACGTTGGGCTATATAGTAGTTTTCTAAACGAGATCCTGAGTATGTCGATTGTGCCAAACTAGCGAACCAAAATGTACGAGATTCATCTAATGCTCTTTTTGTGGGATTAAAAAAACATTGCTTATCCTATTTCAGCAAAGTTTACATGCACAAGTTTCAATGTTTCACGAATTCATACCTAACCACAACCACCTTGCCTTGGCACGACGTCGTATTACGTGGCTGTCACTGACTGGCTCCTATTCCCTCTAAATTAGGTATTTTTATCTAAGTAATAATTATCAGTAACAGAATGGCGAACAAGCTCGTTTTCAGAGATTCGTATTCATGCCAATACATCTCAATGTATATCACTACTTGGGAATAGGGCAAGAAAGATCTGTAGTGAGGACACGCTAGAAGAAGAGCTTCGTACTGTAAAATCCATCTTTGCACCTAATGGGTATCCGGAGCGTTTAGTCAACAAGATGATTCAGTGCAGGGAAACCTCTGTACAAAACACTGAGGTTAAGAAAAAATCCGTGTATATTTCTTTACCGTTCAAAGGGGACACATCAGCCGAGATTATACAAAGAAGATTATCCGACGCAATCGATAAGACTTTCTATGCATCTAAGCTTCGTGTGTTGTTCACGTCCAGGCCAATTGTGTGTTTGCGACTGAAGGAGAGACTCTGCGGTCTCATTCTGTGTATACTCATTTACTTGTTCCTGTGGAACAACGTACCTAGGCCGAACGGTCAGACGATTGTCCGAACGGATTCATGAACACCACCCCGCGTGGCTGAACACCGGAACGATTAAGTCATTCACCAGTGCAGTGGTTTCACACCTAGCTGAAACAAATCATACCCTGAACGTGTGCGAGGCTTTCCGACTCCTGTACAAAGTTCGTGGGCGATTATCGAGGCAGGTTCGTTGTCGGATGTTGGCTACGGCAGAAGCGGTGGGCATTCGTCTGCACAACTCCCCTCTGTGTGTCCAAAAACAATTTGTGCAAGCGCTAAAGCTTCCCCCATACAAATCGCATCATGAGTAATCTCGATAGTAGGATGGGTGGACAAACAAACATGTGATCGTGGTTAACCCGATTTCCGGTCTCACGATGAAATCAGTTTTAGTAATCTGTGTTTTTATTTTGTTTTACTTTTCAATGACAATTTTATTCTCAAGTAGTGATATATTGAGATGTATTGGCATGAATATGGGTCTCTGAAAATGAGCTTGTTTGCCACTTTGTTGTTTTGTTTGAAATGTGCTCTGTGGGATTATTTCAACAAGTATCAGTAAAGAATGTCATGATCAATTACTTTGGTGATAACAAATGGATTATCCAGAAAAATGTTAGCATATTTGGAAATGGTTTAACTGGAAAATGACAAATCGTGGTATATTACATAGGTTCGAAAACCACACGCGGTAGCTTTTGAACAAGTTGAATTCACGATATTCTCCCTACTCATGAGTAGTAAAACAATACATGAAAAAATTGTAACTTGTGCCGAAGAGAAAGCTTATCCGTATTTGAATACGAATAACGAAAATGGTTGAATCGTTGAATCGCCACCAAAATTTGTTTAGATCGTAGTCTTTGATCGGGAAGTGTTTGAGAAGATAGGCGAAAATAACTTTTTCTAATCGACCAGCTTTTGGACAACCAGAAAAGGGACAATAAAACATAGCGGAAACAGCAACAACCAATAGTGTATTTTATTTCTTTTAGCCCTCTAACCTAACGTGTTGTAGAAATTATACTACCTATCCTATCTGGTATTTATTAATTCCCCGTTTTTCCAACGAATAAGGCACCCAGCAGTCGAATACCCGAAGAGGAATCTGCATGAAAGCATTCGGAAAAAAGTTAATTAAATCAGTATTATGGTGATTACCGAATTAGGGCAGATGAAACGAGAACGTTATATAAATCAGAGATAAATAAGAATGAGTTACGACTTGGTTGGTTTGAATATCTGCTGCTGTTAAAAATTTAAGAGTGCGTTGAGCATATTCCGGTTAAACTACTGTAGTTCTTTTCTGTCATAATGCAGCGAGAAGGCGAAGGAGCGTCGGCTACCGAGCCAGATGTTACCAAACCCGCCTCGGATGTGGATGTGCTGTTAGATAATCATCCGAGTATGCCTCCGTCACCGGTCCTCATGGCCCAGACGATTAATATCTATCACGACCCGTATGAGACCACACAAGAGATGAAGGCATTAAGTGCTGAAATTGTAAAAACTATTCGGGATATCATCAATCTGAATCCAGTCTACAGAGAAAGTGTACTGGCCATGCTTCAGGCCGGGCAATGTGTGGCTGACAACCCCGTTTACCTAAGTGACCTTGATACAATAAGTCAGATCCGTTGCGGTTTCTAAGCAACAAACGGGCAAATCATGCCGATCGCAGTGGAGCAGCAAAATATAATAAAAAGAACCGATCAATTGGTTTCACTCTTTTACCCCCTGTTGTGTTGTGAATCCTGAAATAAATGCTACTACGTCAAAACCAGCCTGTCCGGAAATCCAGTGTTATGTTTCCTGTAAATTGTAATGAATCATTTATGCGAGTGCCTTCCATCTAGGCACTTTATACCTCACTGACAGGAATGTTTAGGGAAATGCAAAAGCGACGGGTGTACACTATTGCTTATGTCATTATCCATGAAATTCCGAATAAAAGCAGAAAAACTTGAGAAAATCGCACCTTGGGTGTAAAATATGCCTTCTCATTTGACAATGAAGAATTGGTGAAGATTAGTGAAGTCATCGAATTTTGAAAAAGTTCCACGAAACTCGTATTTTGTGCCAGCACACTTAACGGAACATCACTCAGTTTATCCCTAAAACATAGATTTCGTCATTTCACAATCATCATCATTTTTGGCAAATAATAATGTGAATGCGATGCAGTAAAATATCAACTATTGGTGCTTGGTTTCAAACCTCAGGGTGGCCAATGATAACGTATTATACAAAGACTCATTCGAGAAATCAGTGTTCAGAAACACCTATTGATCCTTACAGGTCTGTTAGAACAAAAATAATACCTGAATCAAGAGTGTAATCAAATTATTGGTCTGAGGAGGTCAATAAGTCGAAGGAATTGGTCGTTTATAGGGTACTGCAGGTAAGCAAACCTTCACTTTTCTGGCAAACTCAAGGGCGTGTTCTCCATATTGCTGGTCATCCAAGGCCAGAACAAGAATAACCCGCCTCTGATAAGCACATGAATACCTGCGGAGTTACTTAGCTACATCAGCTTGAGAATGGATTCACCGAAAACCTGATCCCATACGACCTGTGCTCAAATTAAAAGAAAGCAATGCTATCATCACGTTTTATTCACACAGTTGTGCAAAGCACAGATTTTATGAATTCTTTCTGCTCATCCGGGGATTTTTGTTAAAGGCGTGGCACAAATTCACATGATAAACCGTTAAAACTCAATAATACTGGTTCAAACGTTTTCCTACTTAGATTATTCATGAGAAGATTGTGAAATTTCCATCTGCCTAAGGATCCCATATTCGTGACCATTTTGAAATGGAACTGGGGGAACGGTCGCGCTTAGGTTGTAGCTTACTCCTTCCTTACCATTGGAATGTGAGACAGATTTGGTCTCAACCATCTTGCACATAGTGGGTAGTTGAATGTTAAGTTTGGAATAACATAATGAACCCGGTATAACTTGAATATGTATCTTAAACTATGGTGATTAAATTGCTTTTGTTATTGTAATAAGTTGATCAATCATTCTACTGATGTGATTCAAAATTTACTACAGAAAACGGTGGTTCTCATCACTGAGAAGAACTGGAAACATTGAATAGCTAGTTTCTCCCGGTTGATATTGATTGATCGTGAATATTCAATGAATCTATTGTCATTAGACACTGTAATTGCATTTGACGATTACATCGGCAAAAGAAAATTGAACCTGGTTCATGCAACGAAATTCATGACCAGCAAAAAGTGAAGCAAAGTCTGGTCAAATTTACAACTAGGGAATAAAGACAGGGGTTATCCGGCGATAACATGTAGTATTCTCGTGCATCAAGCTATTGGAGTTCATCACTTTGAATTAACAATACCTTTTGCCCGGGTTCGAATCCCACTTGTTTCATTCATTCATGAATACAAATTGATGTTTACTTGGATTTTTCGCGATTGGTTCAAAAGGATCGCCTTTCTAAATCAGAGGTCGAGTGAAAGGCCAATATGGTGTTCAGGGTTATGGAGAAAGTGGAAGTGCATTTAATATTTTAGAGTGAAGTGTGACACATCAAATGCCATCTCTTTGTCAGGATAAAATGCTCCACCGCAAATCGCCCGGATGTGTGGAGCCTTGAGAAATTCGTATTTTTGGCAGTTCTGCAGTATTTCGATAAGATGAATCAATCCCATACGATTAACAAAACACTTAATAGATAACATGTCTTGAGGAGGCACATATTTCACACAGCGTGCCAATCCTTACCATAAGGTAATCAGCCGTTGAGTCGCTCGTGAGCGAAACATTGTCCTGTTTGTCCAGGGGAAAGCAGATAAATAACATACGATAGTTTTTTCATAGCTATTAGTATTCCATCTCAGATAGGAACTTGGGATTTTAGATAGGCCAACATTATATATTCACTGCGATTGTATACCTCTGAGCTGCGTATTTGGGAAAACCATTTTCGTGGTGCCACTATTTAACACCAAGTTTGTTTAACTGTTCACCAGCTTTCGTATAGCAGTGGACACCTTCCTGGAAGTTAGTTGTACATTTGTGCATTCGAAAAATTAAAAAGGAAGCAAAGTACTTTTATTCATTTACTGATTTATCCATAAATCTTATTTTTGTTGTCGATAAGTGAGATATTCCTGTCCCTCGCGAATGAAAGATTGTTATTATTGAATCACATCTACTTATGAGTAGTCACTTTGGGTAAATGATATTAATTTGGGGTGGTTGTCTCTCAAACAGCACTTTCATGCACAGCACTGAAATCATTCAAGCAACCACTCACTGTGAAAGCACAAGATACGCCTTTCATATTCATCAGAGCTCACCAGCAATACATATCCACTAATATTTGAACTCTGGAACCAGCGCAGTGCGAATCTGTGCAAGTGATGTGTCAGCTCACAACCTGGTATCGTGTACAACTTCCAGGCAATGCATCAGGGGTTCATAGCCCGGAACTTGGTGCATAGCACAATTGCTGAGCTCTAATTAGAGCGAAACTTTACACTTGAGCACCCCAAATGTGTACCATTACTTGGGTGAACCAGTGAATGCGAGTTAAGATAGAGTCCGGTTTGATGGTTCAAATCAAAGTAAATGATATTGTCGTAATAGTTCCACAGAGCACATTTCAAACAAAACAACAGCAGCGAGCAAGCTCATTTACAGAGCTTCCTATTCATGCCAATACATCTCAATATATATCACTACTTGGGAATAAAGTTCTCTTGAGAAAATAAAATCACATCACATCACAGATCACTACGAACGATTTCATCATGAGACCGGAAATCGGATTCACCATGATCAAATAGTTGTTTGTCCACTCATTTGGTCATGGAGACAACACGTAATAGTGTGTGGGGGGAGTGATTGGCCAGGAGAGCTTTAATGCTCGTACAAATTGTTTTTGGGTACGCAGAGATGGGTAGTGCAGAAGTATACCCACCGCTTTTGATACTACCCTGCGTCGATAATCGATCACGCACTTTTTACGAGGGTTGGAAGGCCTCGGTCACAATCCACAGTGTGATTTGCTTTAGCTAGATATTAAACCATTGCAACTTAATCTTTCCGGTGTTCAGCCACGCAGGGTGGTGTTCATGAATCCCTCCCGTAAAACCACCTGATAGTGCACTTAATCTTCAGTAGCCCATCTCCCTGCACATACATCGTACCACGAGCAACCCCGATGATCAGGTGAGTGGACATGCAATTATGTGATCAGATGATTAATGCTTCTTGTAAATGAGCCCTAAGCTGAAAAGCAAGGAAGCACTGGGCAGCTGTTTTCACCTGTTGGGTTAATGGATTCGCACTACTGATAAGACCCAACCAGGTCGAAACATCTGTCCAGTGCTTCTTAGCTTTTCCGCTCAGGCGTCATTTGCGTGACAAACTAATCATCTAAGCAAATCAAATTCTCCATCTCTCTCTTGTAATTATGTGATCGTGATGAATCCGATGGCCAATCTCATGATGAAATCGTTTTCCGTAATCTGTGATGCGATTTTATTTTATTTTCCCCATGACAGTTTTAGTCCCAATTATTGATGTATCCGATGCTACTGATCAGCACGGAAATGGATAGAAATGTTCCTGAACAGAATTGTACATTTCATTCATGATGGCCGAGGTTTTTAAAGCAGCTCGAAAATAGTTCAATCAGTAATCGTGTCTGGATGCGTACAATTTCGAACCAATCAACATCTGATTGATAAGCATTCAGATTGGAAAATGCAGAGACTTTAGTCTCAGAACGAGACGACAAGGACCACATTGAGTAAAACAGTGGGTGTGTAGAGAAAACGATTCCGGTAAGAAGTGGAATTCATGTGACACAACTATGGTACCATCTGATCAGTACTTAGTTGAACATTGTTCTTCGTGGGCATATGAGAATCGATGCAAGCATTCGGTATCAGCAGCATCTTGTCGGTTCGGAATAATTGTGATAGTGTACCCAAACTGTTTGTTGACCTACCGGTAAGTGGAACAGCGAGAAGTTTGTCAATTCGGACCTTCAAGGAATTGATTACAACCGAGATCGATCGTTTTCAGATGTACGCGATTAGATCACTTTATACTCGTATTGTCCTCAAAATATGAACGTGCCTTTAGGTTTGTTCAGGTATTCATAAATGTGAGTGATCGCGAACTGTAGTCTGACTGTTTGACGATATTCGTATGTCATATCTGGAAGATCGATACCCAACATAGCATTTAGAACAAATACAATTTGGCGAAACAATTGCTTTTCAGTAATTCCATCTCAAGCCTTTTACAGATTTGACAGGTAAGCCTAGGAAACAGATCAGACAGTTAGACACAACACCAACAATCATGGGTAAGAGTTTGTCATGGTCAACTGGCATTTGTCATTTGACTGGTTTAACTACTTTACAGCTTCAGGGTGACTGGACGGCGGACATACTCCCGCCTGATCGATCATGGGCCATGGAAGTTGGAGTGACTGGACCAAACGCTTTGGTCACAGAGGTCACAGATTAACTTTCTTACCCCGATCGTTTCGGCTATTCCTAGAGAGCGCAGTTGAACACCCTTACACTTGATGTGGAGCACACGATAAACAACTCTGAAGGAGACGTCCGGATTTATTTAATGTCCAGGGTTTAATAAGTTGGCT